TTAAGCAACTAGTGCATGTGTTTGTACATGCCACACAATTAGCATCTATCTGCAATGTTTTGTATACTGTCCCATTGACAAAGTGTTATGATTCATTGAATATGTGATTACCCAAGCATCATGTGGAGTTCATGTGCCCTCAATTTTGCATACCGGCAATGATTAGGAAGCCAAGTTTATTATTTGGTTGTCTTGACAAGAGTTATGTGAGTTATTGTTCCCAAAGGAATCATTATTGAACAGCTAGACATCTCATGTTTCTCTGATGCAATTTAGCTTTGACAGGCCCTAATTTCAAGTAATCAAGCTCCCTTGTGTATTATTAAGGTCTTCAATATTATTATATTAATTTAGAATAAAAACCCACACTTCTGTATTTGTGAAATTTATGTAAAAAATTACACCAAATGTTTCGCACTCTCCTGAGTGCTTTGTCAAGGTCTGAGTGTGTGGTTAGGACGAGACATCTCAATGTCAAATGAGGCAGCTACCCATTGTTGTTGACGTTTTAGATTCAGCTACTCAGACCAAAAAGTTCCAAGTAGCACGGGCTATGGTGAGCCCGTCTTGATCTTGCCTGGGACAGGAGCGGGGCTGTAACGTGTTATGATCCCAGGCAGCCGAAAAACGAGTCTCCCCTTTGAGAATTATTGTATCAGGCCTGACCTGACTAGAAGGTCTAGGAAATGTAGAGGTGAAGATACAAATGTAAAATAATTGGTTGGATTTGATAGACAATTTAAGATAATGGGCAGTGAATAAGTAAATGACTTGACACAAGATATGGAGAGTTCGGTGGAGGTGTGAGGATCGCTTGAGAGGAGCTTAAGTCACTTGAGTACCAGACATCGTGAGGGGAAGCTGCGCTCCGTGTGAGCTCCTGTCAGAGACAATCCCCTGTTTGATATACCTTCAAGAGAAAGGAAGTGTGCAGTTCCAGCTGTGGAATCGAGCTGGGAAGGTGTGGTCTCAAGTCCTGGATGGCAAGGAGAGTTTGTTAAGCCGCCCAGAGACATTATCGTGGGACGTGGGAGCGCCCTGGTCAGACTCCTTCAGAGGGAGAGCGCCCTGCAGGGGACTTTTTTGTGGTAAGCACAATTTTAACCAGGTTACAGTAAATGCCGGTAGTTGATCGTGTGCCCAGCAATCATAGCGAATGTTTATTGATACGTTAGATATGTTTTGGTAAGGCAGGAAGCCTAAATAAGAGGACTGAGATAAGAGAGACAGCGGGAGGGACGAGCAGCATGTCCTCTCCTTTCGACCGCCTGGAGCCAACTGACTGACTGCAGAGGACCCTCCCAGAGTGAGGAGCCTCCCGCCGGGCAAGGCGGAGCATGGACCAGCCCAAACGGGGGAGTCCACTCACACAGTATGTAGAGAGAAAAGAGATGTTAGGTGCGAACATATTGCGTGGTTATTTTCGTTTATGTGTTTAAGAGGAAACGTTTTCATTGGCGTGTCAATGGGTTGCAGGTTTGTCTGGGGAAGGAGTTGCTGAGAACTTCGAAGCCAGCAGAGAGGGACTAGTTGATGAGACTCCAAGGTAGTGGAAAGTACTGAGCTCTGTGGGAGAGCAGCCATACAGTGAGGAAGAGAACCTCAAGCTGTGAGAAGAGTAGTGGAATGAAGTTTCACATGCTTTTGTGATACCAGTGGTGAAGCATCATTGTCGATCAAGGAAGACTTCATGTTGTAGCAGCCAGGAGAGCTGTGGAGGACCCTGGTAGAAGTGGTGTAGCACGACTGTTGCTCAAGGTGCAGCAGCCTGGAGGAGCTGCAGAGGATCCTGGTAGATAAACCCGGAAGAACCTGAAGATATCAGGGTAGTGAGCTTATAGATGTGGAAGGGAAGTTCTAGTTGATTACTTGTAGGGAGTTGGTAGAGTGTTTGGTTGTCATTAGCGTGCAAGACGCAGTGAAAGGTGAGTGATTGTTTGCCATTTTTGTGCCAAGGAGTACTTATACTGAAGTATAGAGTTACAGTCGTAGGCTGGATTACCTGCAGAGACATACATATGTGTTCTAGGACTGATAGGGTGATCGTTTGATCATTGTTGTATATCAAGGAACATTTATACTAATATTTATGTTATTGCATTCAGCCGCTGCTTTTCCTTGCACATGTTTATAGATATATATATTCTCTTGCTGATAGTGCAACATTGTGTTATATGACTTGACCTACTTGAGGAGGTTGGTAATATTAGGTGGTGAATCAGGAGATAGGATACCCCTTGATAAGCAGATGATAGTGTTCTGATAGTGTTGGAGTTCAACCTGGCTGAAATAGTATAGAGTGTAGGATTCATTATTATTATTATTATTATATGTGTGTATGTGCTTTGTCCAGTAAATGTATTCAAATTTGCTGGTGTTTGCCCTTGTCCTAATGAGGCTTCCCAGGAAGTAGGATAGAAGGAGAGAGAGAGAGAGAGAGAGAGAGAGAGAGAGAGAGAGAGAGAGAGAGAGAGAGAGAGAGAGAGAGAGAGAGAGAGAGAGAGAGAGAGAGAGAGAGAGAGAGAGAGAGAGAGAGAGAGAGAGAGAGAGAGAGAGAGAGAGAGAGAGAGAGAGAGAGAGAGAGAGAGAGAGCCAAGAACCACAACTGTGGACAGGGTAGAATGGAATAATAATAAATCAAAGGGGATTGAGATCATATCACATAAGGAGAGAGTGGGGAGTCACAGCGGCTCGAGTGGGTGTGTGCACGTGACAACGAGGCTAAGTATTGGAGCCGCATCCTCTAAACGTGTGACGTTGAGCCCCTCTCCACGAGCCAGAAGCGCCCAGGGTGATCTGGTAAAGTATCAGCACTCTACCGAGTTTTGGGTTGGGTTGTCCATAAACAAGGATCAACGACAACACCAACCCCAATAAACGGCTACTACCTTAGGTCCAGTCTTCTTACCCTTCTTGACCTCCTGACCAGGTTACCTCTATTCCCAAGTGCCGATGTACCAGTGGTGGTCTTCCATGGAATTATGGTCAGGGGTCCTTTCTGTAATAATAATATTCTAAGAACTGGAGTTGTTATTAATAGAGGTCCCATTAGCCCAAGGAATGCGGCTAATGGAACTGCTTACATTTATCCATTTATTGAGATCAAATAATAATTTACTTAGAATCATTTCCCTAGTAAAGCTATCCTCCGAAGTAAAGCTTTTATTACCAACGAAAGTATTCGGAGTATTTATTAGAACCCCCTTCCATTGCCCTTCTAGTTCTAACATTATTGCTTCTATACATTATTTCACATATCTTAAAATCAATATTACGATCCTTATCCCAACAATGGTTTGCTTCAGCACTGTTATCAGCCATGATTCTACATGCTTCCTTATGTTCTTCACTTCTGATCTCAAGTTTTCGCCCAGGGCTCCAAAGTTAATGCCACTCGCATTGGTGTTTACAACTCATATAATTGCAGTAATACTGTCATCACCATAAAAATATATTGTTTATATAATATGTAAATTGATATTGAAAATTACGAACATTATTAAACCAATTTGGGTCTAACTGTGGCTGAGTTCCAGAAATGTCTGTGTATCCTAAAGCCAGTGTCTCAGTAATTAAACTACATCTCAAGGTCATATCTTCTGTAACAGAAATATAACATAACTAAACATTCAATTAAATAGGTTATAGTTAATACATGCAGATATTTTCCCATCACAGGTGACCATATGTCTTATATGATAACTGAACTAAAAGTAGAAGTCATTTTGTCTAGTTTTTACTAAACGATTAATGTCTAATTTTCATTTTCATAGCTGGCTATCAGGTTATCATTTTATATTTTTGTTTTAATTTGTGTAGTTACACACTAGAAAACTGAGATCCCTATTTTAACGAATTAACTATAATAATGTACAAATCCACAAGGGCCGTGACGAGGATTCGAACTTACGTCCGAGATCATCCCAGACGCTGCCTTAATCAACTGAGCTACGACATGGTCAAAAGAGTTGAAACCAGAAGTTCTACTGAACTTAATTGGATCCTGCAGCCTCTCTGAGACACAAACCAGGGTTTTACACAACTCTCCTATTGTGATTTCTGTGTGTAATGAAGTAAGGGCGAAGAGGTAGACCGGCCAATTGACATAGCTCGAATGCATGGGGGAGTTGGGTAAAACCTGGTTTGTGTCTCGGAGTGGCTACAGGATCCAAGTAAGTTCAGTAGAACTTCTGGTTTCAACTCTTTTGACCATGTCGTAGTTCAGTCGATTAAGGCAGCGTCTGGAATGATCTCGGACGTAAGTTCAAATCCTCGTCACGGCCCTTGTGGATTTGTTCATTGATGCACCACGCTATTGTGATTTCTGTGTGTAATCCTTTTGCTTCATTATGCATTGAGTGAATCTCGTGACCATGTGAATGTTGTCCAGGGAACACTTAACAGAACTAGACCATACACAGTGAGGTTTAACTCGGCGAGACAGCCACAGGTCTTGTTCCCATGCTCTGACAGTTGCTACATGTTGATAACTTTTAGTGAGATATCTGCCAATATGAAAATTGGTGACGTTGCTTGAAATTGCAGTCAGGGAAAAGTATTATCTAACAGAAAGCCACCATTCCTTTCCGAGACTATTAATGTCCCTCTCCATCTCGTAAGTGACTAAGCACAGAATTTGAGAGGAAAGCTTCCATATGTTGTATCACACATTCCATATCAGAAAAAAAATTCTTTCAAAACGCCTCATAACAACATGGAACTATCAAAAACACAAATATACAGACAACCTGACCATCAGATATTTTAAAGGGACTAATATCATCTGTGACTGCATTAAATAAATTATATTCCTAATAAACACTAATAAGCTTAATAAATTTATTAACTCCTCTGAGCATGTTTCCGATCAGACGACAAAGAAAAAAATTAATATCTTCTATTCTATTAGCATTTACATAAATTGTCCTTATGTCAATACACCATTGTAAGCTAGCTGAAAACTATATAACCCCAAAAATCCATATCCTTGTGTCCGGCAGGTTGCGATTCTTGAAGCAATGAATGGAGCTATCGGAGGATTATTCGGTAAGCTGAGCCTGCCCGTTGAAGACCACAAGTGTTTCCCTGGGTACACCGCACAGCTGCCTTTCAGTAACCTCTACAAACAGTTATTTATCAATAACACAGACAATGATATAGTGTTGTCTAACTCACAGCTGCGGCATTACCCACTCAGCGAGTCTTCTTATGTCAAAGATTATCCGTGTCCTTCACATTTATTGGTTCCATTAAGGGATCAGTTTCGTCATGAGTTGCCTTTTAGACAAGACATCATTGACAAAGCTAAAGAACGGCTTGATAATGCTGTTAAAAGTCTGCACAACAATACATCACAAAATATAACAGTAATTACTGTTCATGTTCGTAGAACCGACCATTTTCCTTTTATGAAAAAAGTATACAAGTTAGATCCTCTGGATAAGACTTATTTTCAGCGGGCATTTCAGTTCTTCAGGAACAGGTAAGTAAGGCTGACCACTACAGTGCAAACCATAACAAAAATTTGCTAATTACTGGTCACACTACACTGATGCTTTTATGGTTTTCTGAAGCTTTTCTGGTCTCTTTTCTGTGACCACTTTTTGATGTTCATATTTGTCTTTGATTTTTATTTCATAATGAGAAAGTAGACCGTTGTATTATAGAAGTGCTTTAATAATTTTGATACATGTGGTGAATCTTTCTTTCTGGTTGATTGAAGTTTACAATGTCTTTTTTTAAGCAACCCGTCGTCACATCCTATAGTACCTATGTCTTCACATCCCATAGTACCTATGTCTTCACATCCCATAGTCCTTATGACTACACATCTCATAGTACCCATGTCTACACATCCCATAGTACCTATGTCTTCACATCCCATAGTACCAATGTCTTCACATCCCATAGTACCTATGTCTTCACATCCCATAGTACCTATGCCTTCACCTCCCATAGTACCTATGTCTACACATCCCATAGTACCTATGTCTACACATCCCATAGTACCTATGTCTTAACATATCATAGTACCTATGTCTTCACATCCCATAGTACCTATGACTACACATCCCATAGCACCTATGTCTATACATCCCATAGTACCTATGTCTTCACATCCCATAGTACCTATGTCTTCACATCCCATAGTACCTATGTCTTCACATCCCATAGTCCTTATGACTACACATCTCATAGTACCCATGTCTACACATCCCATAGTACCTATGTCTTCACATCCCATAGTACCAATGTCTTCACATCCCATAGTACCTATGTCTTCACATCCCATAGTACCTATGCCTTCACCTCCCATAGTACCTATGTCTACACATCCCATAGTACCTATGTCTACACATCCCATAGTACCTATGTCTTAACATATCATAGTACCTATGTCTTCACATCCCATAGTACCTATGACTACACATCCCATAGCACCTATGTCTATACATCCCATAGTACCTATGTCTTCACATCCCATAGTACCTATGTCTTCACATCCCATAGTACCTATGTCTTCACATCCCATAGTACCTATGTCTTCACATCCCATAGTACCTATGACTACACATCCCATAGTACCTATGTCTTCACATCCCATAGTACCTATGTCTACACATCCCATAGTACCTATGTCTTCACATCCCATAGTACCTATGTCTTCACATCCCATAGTACCTATGACTACACATCCCATAGTACCTATGCCTTCACATCCCATAGTACCTATGACTACACATCCCATAGTACCTATGTCTTCACATCCCATAGTACCTATGTCTTCACATCCCATAGTACCAATGACTACACATCCCATAGTACCTATGTCTTCACATCCCATAGTACCTATGCCTTCACATCCCATAATACCTATGACTACACATCCCATAGTACCTATGACTACACATCCCATAGTACCTATGCCTTCACATCCCATAGTACCTATGACTACACATCCCATAGTACCTATGTCTTCACATCCCATAGTACCTATGCCTACACATCCCATAGTACCTATGTCTACACATCCCATAGTACCTATGTCTTAACATATCATAGTACCTATGTCTTCACATCCCATAGTACCTATGACTACACATCCCATAGTACCCATGTCTACACATCCCATAGTACCTATGTCTTCACATCCCATAGTACCTATGTCTTCACATCCCATAGTACCTATGACTACACATCCCATAGTACCCATGTCTACACATCCCATAGTACCTATGTCTTCACATCCCATAGTACCTATGTCTTCACATCCCATAGTACCTATGACTACACATCCCATAGTACCTATGTCTTCACATCCCATAGTACCTATGTCTTCACATCCCATAGTATCTATGTCTTAACATATCATAGTACCTATGTCTTCACATCCCATAGAACCTATGACTACACATCCCATAGTACCTATGTCTACACATCCCATAGTACCTATGTCTTCACATCCCATAGTACCTATGTCTTCACATATCATAGTACCTATGTCTTCACATCCCATAGTGCCTATGACTACACATCACATAGTACCTATGTCTTCACATCCCATAGTACCTATGTCTTCACATCCCATAGTACCTGTGACTACACATCCCATAGTACCTATATCTACATATCCCAGAGTACCTATATCTACACATCCCATAGTACCTATATCTACACATCCCATAGTACCTATGACTACACATCCCATAGTACCTATGACTACACATCCCATAGTACCTATGAATACACATCCCATAGTACCTATGACTACACATCCCATAGTACCTATGACTACACATCCCATAGTACCTATGACTACACATCCCATAGTACCTATGACTACACATCCCATAGTACCAATGACTACACATCCCATAGTACCTATGACTACACATCCCATAGTACCTATGTCTACACATCCCATAGTACCTATGTCTACACATCCCATAGTACCTATGTCTACACATCCTTAAAGTTCCTATACTGCGAATATTCAAAGTTTACCTATGGAAAAAATTTACCATAGTTAAAGGCAAATGGATTTACAGTTACTGGCTATCATTTATCACTTCTTATTTCAGAACTTTTGATGTTTTTAAGGTTAAATAATTTACATTTAAATACATTCTACAGTGCTGTTCATTGCCATAGAGAGCAAACCCATCAGAGTGCCAGCAGGAGGATGGGGAATTAGCCTCGCCTACCATCCTCTTTTGTCCGGTCGTGATGGTCGAGTGGTTAAGGGATCCTGTACATCAGTTGCAGAGTGCTTCTGGCAGTATGGGTTTGAGTCACTTCTGGGGTGTGAGTTTTCAATTGCATATATGCCTCGAGACCGTTCACGCTGGTTCGCATTTGTGTTCCTCACGTTTTCCCAAAGAATGAGGTGATTTAATAAAATACCATGCCCAAGATTACCAACAGAGTGCCGGCGGGGGATGGGGGGGGGATGGGAATTAGCCTCGGCCACCATCCTCTTTTGTCCGGTCGTGTTGGTCGAGTTGTTAAAGGATTCTATACATCAGATGCATTGCTTCTGGCAATATAGGTTCGAGTCACTTCTGGGGTGTGAGTTTTCAGTTATATATATATATATATATATATATGTCGTACCTAGTAGCCAGAACTCACTTCTCAGCCTACTATGCAAGGCCCGATTTGCCTAATAAGCCAAGTTTTCATGAATTAATGTTTTTTCGTCTACCTAACCTACCTAACCTAACCTAACCTAGCTTTTTTTGGCTACCTAACCTAACCTTACCTATATATATAGGTTAGGTTAGGTTAGGTAGGGTTGGTTAGGTTCGGTCATATATCTACGTTAATTTTAACTCCAATAAAAAAAAATTGACCTCATACATCGTGAAAAGGGTAGCTTTATCATTTCATAAGAAAAAAATTATAGTAAATAAATTAATTCAGGAAAACTTGGCTTATTAGGCAAATCGGGCCTTGAATAGTAGGCTGAGAAGTGAGTTCTGGCTACTAGGTACGACATATATATATATATATATATATATATATATATATATATATATATATATATATATATATATATATATATATGTCGTACCTAGTAGCCAGAACGCACTTCTCAGCCTAGTATGCAAGGCCCAATTTGCCTAATAAGCCAAGTTTTCATGAATTAATACATTTTCTCTAATTTTTTTCTTATAAAATGATAAAGCTACCCATTTCATTATGTATGAGGTCAATTTTTTTTAATGGAGTTAAAATTAATGTAGATATATGACCGAACCTAACCAACCCTACCTAACCTAACCTACACTATCTTTATAGGTTAGGTTCGGTTAGGTAGCAGAAAAAGTTAGGTTAGGTTAGGTTAGGTACGTTAGGTAGTCGAAAAAACATTAATTCACGAAAACTTGGCTTATTAGGCAAATCGGGCCTTGCATAGTAGGCTGAGAAGTGCGATCTGGCTACTAGGTACGACATATATATATATATATATATATATATATATATATATATATATATATATATATATATATATATATATATATATATATATATAGTATATTTTGATAGCAGTCTTTCCTGTAGACATATATTATTAAATATGACCGAAAAAGTAAGATTAATAATTCTAACACGAATTTTCTCAATCTTTCGTACATTACGCTTCACTGTTGGAGGTAAATCAAAAATCAATTCTCCAAAATTCATTTTTATTTCTAGTCTGACGCGACACGGGCGCGTTTCGTAAAACTTATTACATTTTCAGACTTTAGTTCACAAATACACAACTGAATAGAGCTTACGTATCTCCGATTTTATATCTACATTTGAGTGAGGTGGAAGGGGTGATGTGGCATTAACACAAGACAGAACAAAATGTGGTATTAATAGGGTATTAATTTCATCAACACAAGACAGAACAAGAGTATTAATAGGGTATTAATTTCATCAACACAAGACAGAACACGAAACAATGGATATTGAATAGAAGTGATTGTAGAAAGCCTATTGGTCCATATTTCTTGATGCTTCTATATTGGAGCGGAGTCTTGAGGTGGGTAGAATAATATTAATACCACATTTTGTTCTGTCTTGTGTTAATGCCACATCACCCCTTCCACCTCACTCAAATGTAGATATAAAATCGGAGATACGTAAGTTCTATTCAGTTGTGTATTTGTGAACTAAAGTCTTTGAAAATGTAATAAGTTTTACGAAACGCGCCCGTGTCGCGTCAGACTAGAAATAAAAATGAATTTTGGAGAATTGATTTTTGATTTACCTCCAACAGTGAAGCGTAATGTACGAAAGATTGAGAAAATTCGTGTTAGAATTATTAATCTTACTTTTTCGGTCATATTTAATAATATATATATATATATATACATATATATATATATATATATATATATATATATATATATATATATATATATATATATATATATGTCGTACCTAGTAGCCAGAACGCACTTCTCAGCCTACTATGCAAGGCCTGATTTG